CCCTCAACCCTATGTGCCTTAACACTTCATCCTCGAGATCTGTCGCACATTGGGAATTTAGGTGCGGACATCCAATTCCTCAGACGCCCTGGGCTCTGCGCCGGAGTTCAGTGTCTAGTGTTGAGTGACATGCGATAAGGAAAGCTTCTCAACCCTAAACCCTGAACCCTAAACCCGCACGTATGGCTGGGGGTTAGTGGGGGGGTTGTACCGGAACGGGGTTGTTGGACTGCATCGGGGCCCCTTTTGCCTCTGAACCACGCAGACCCACGACTGTTCCCTGCGGAGTGATCCCTCTGGGGTCCGCTAGGCGGGTGGCAAAAAAACACCCGCACAGTTGCAAACCAACTGACCCTCTGGAGTTGTGCGAGAGTGCTGGGCGGGTGGCAAATAAACCCTCCCAAGATCGCTGAGTACCAGAACGCTTCACAACCACAAATGTCAGGAGCCAAGCCCCAAGAGCAAAAAGGGCACAACAAATGGGAAGCCGTTGAGGCCATGTACTTATAGACTTGGCTGTCTCTTCTACACGCCTTACCACAGGGTCGACAGGATGCTGCATCCAGCTACATCCACCATACCAATGGGTACCGTATCCTCACTGGATGCACAAACTGAGCCCACTACGATTTTGTTCGTCCGCACACACACACACACACACACCTCCTACCCTGAGTTAGGGTGTCTCAAGGCCAAGCCGAACTCGGTGAGCCGATCCGCACCAACTTGCAACACTCCTCCTACATGAAAATGCTGTACATTAGACACGACGCGCTGAACCAAGTACTAGTTACAAGATCCGAGTTTCGCGGTGGCAGTACCAGGTACCAGCAATGGCACAGGGAAATTACAAATTCCGAGCTGCACGATGCCACGAATTACCGAATTAAGCACACAAAAGGCCCCAACAGCATCACCCCAACAGCAAGCAGTGTCTCACCTCTTTGTCTTCAGTCATCCCCTGGTAGACGCTCAAGTCATCTCCATGGCCCAGACGATTGAACGATTGCCCTGGTCAGCCCAGTACAGGAAGCGAGGGGGGGGTTGCCTGGCATCCGAATTGTTGCACTACTACTTCCGCGACTGAGCACACCAGGACTCATGACATCTCAGCTTTCCAGAGGAAACGCCTTTCCCAATCGTCTCGTGTCGCAGCATTGCTGTGGCAGGCCAACAACCCTCCCAAGTGCAACAAGGGCGGCAAAAAAAGTCCTGCGCTCTGAGCTTGTGGTCCAATTATCAAATAGAACCCCAACAAAGCTGCACCGCTAGAAGAATACCCAACTACAGTAGACCAGCTGGTTGGTTTTCTTTCTTGGAGGCTTGAGGTAGACGGCTAAGTCCGAGAACATGTCAGACTTTTTTTTGCTTAGCAGCGGGAAGATCTTGCGAAGAGATACTTCAGATGTGTGCGTTACGCTTGTATGGGGTTTGGCGTTGAGTCTTCGACCGGTGGACAAGAGCAAGATCGATACTGATGCACACCAGAAGTGAGTGTACCCCGGATAGCCTCGCCGTCCGCCCTGCGATGTGGTTTTGCCCCAGTTGTGCAGGATGGAAAAAACCCTTGTAGATAGCCTAGGGTTGCGGGCGTATTTTGTCGCTACGCGGTTCGCCTCGGCCGGGGACATCGGGCATCAAAGCAGAGGCGTCGCAGAAGGGGGGGATCAGAATCTCAAGGGGCACGCGAAGAAATGCTAGAGACTCTCCGGCACTGTTTCCCCTATTGGAGGAGGTGTCGGAACAGAAGGCTCTCGCGGCGGAGCTGACGCAGGACCGGCTCAAGGCTGCAAGTATTCAGGGCTAGGGCTAGGGCTTGCGGTTTAGGGTTTAGGGGGGTTTAGGGTTTGGGGGAAGGTTTTTGACAACAGGACTTGTTAGTCCGAGAATGCACCTTCTCGTGCATTTTACCCTCGCTCAGCTCCTTCGTGCCTTTCACGCACTCCTCGCCGTCACAGCTCAGGAAGATGTAGTCATGGAGCTGCGCAGGTAGTTCTCCACGCGCTTTCCGTGCACGCTCAGCTCCATCCCCCAGTTTCAATCCGGACCGAGTCCGATTCCAGGCCCTCAACCCCCCCAGACCGCCCCATCCAGGACGATCGGAAGCCCTGACTGGACCCTCAAACCCAAAACCCTAAACCCCAACCGTCTCAAATCCCCAACACCTCAAGCACTAAACCTTAAACGCCAAGGCCTCAAGCCCGAAACCCGTCAAGAGCCTTAAGCCTAAGACCTTCATTCCCTCAAGCCCTCAAACCCTTAACCCGATGTGCCTTAACACTTCATCCTCCAGATCTGTCGCACACTGGGGATTTAGGTGCGGACATGCAACTCCTCAGACGCCCTTGGCTCTGCGCCGGAGTTCAGTGTCTAGTGTTGAGTGACATGCGATAAGGAAAGCTTCTCCGGGCTTTTCAATACAAGTTTCTTCGGGATCTATAGGATGGCCTAGGGTTGCGGACCTATTTTTTCGCTTCGGCCGGGCACCACGGTGCGGGCACACATTGAAGCAAATGAGTTGCAGAGGGTGGGGGGGGGGGGGGAGCAGAACTTTTGGCAGCAAGTTCATGCATTCAGTTTCACGAAGCTTTTGGAAGAGCGAAGCTCATGAGCGCATGAAAGTTACAGCATTTTTTAAGGGTTTTTTTCTTATTATCTTTGCGCTTCCAGTATTTAACCACTACAAACCCATGTGAGCCCCTCCATCTGATGACTCTCGGGAACTGCTACAAATCAAGGCCTTTTCTCTCACCTTTGCTCTCATGCCGGCCTGCACGTACACTATACTGAGTCGCAGCCACGCGCAACCGCCACACTCACAGCCAGCTTTCAAAGGACGGCCTGAAGATCCCTCTGAGCCCAGTCAAATTTGGAAGGGCAGATCTGGACATGCCATGCTCACTCGAGGCAAGACCCGCAAAACTGCTTTCGGGACTCGAAGTTAGCACACCCTTGCGTTGGACAGGACGTGGACGCGGCAATCAAGGGGGTCCCCAGCAGGAAATCCCAAGCCCCAAACCCAAAACTTTAAGACTTCCAATGCTGCTTCGGCCCGAGGCCTCGGCAGATTTTGGTTGCTTTGGTTCTTATACGCCTTCTGCGAGGAGATCCTGGATCTAAAGAGGGGTCCCGACAACGCCGCCGAGCTGAAGCAGGACGTGCCACCAAGGGCTGGGCAGCTGGATGCGTGAATAGAGCCCGAGTATTGGAGGTTTATAAGGGCGCCTGTTGGGGTTTACAGGATTTATAACGCTTAGGGTTGGCAGGAGCTATGGGCATTCGTTCTGATCCTTCAGGCTCATACGTTACACCGCCGGCTGTCTTTGGAGCTAACCACTAAATTAACTGCGGAGAGAGACTGCCTCGCAACTTCTTGCAGACCTGTTTGGGCTTCATGTGTCACGGAAATACCTTGCATGCCTGGTAGCTTGAGGTCTCGGACCTTAGGATCTTGGTTTTCTGCCAGGATCTCCAGGCCCTTAAGCAGGGCCAGGATCGGCTCCAGGCACACCTCGACAGCGTCACGGGCTCCCGCAATGAAGGTCGCAGAGACTTGGCTCGAACTCGAATGCACAGTAACTTTTCACCAAGGCTTTCCTAGAACTTTGCGAGTCTGCTGGAAGAGCTTTTTTTGTACCAACAGCCGAGATCCTGGGCCTCAGCCCTACATCCGGACGCTCGTCCTCTTCTCCCACGGTCTCGGTGTCTCGTAGTGGACGCTGCGCGAGCTTCGACTGTGGAGCCGACAAGGCCAGACCTCCGAGCTGCGGCCCCATTCTTTTGAACCCCAAGGGGTCAAACTTTCAGGGACCGCTGTACTCTGTTCTAGGGTGTTCTCAGGGTCTAGAGTCAAAAGAGTTCAAAAGAGTCTAGAGGGTATTTCACGGACTTAGCATTGCAGGGTTGAGGGCTTCAGGGGTCAGCGTTGCGGGATTTAGGGTTGGGGTCTAGAGTCTAGAGTTTGGATTTCAGCCTTGAGGGTTCGGTGGGGTTCGTGTTTGGAGTTTGTTCCCGGACAGCTTCAAGCACCCAGCCCCGGCTGCAGAAGTTGTCTTGCGACTTGAGAGCAAGATCAACAACAAGATGACACATCCAAGCCAAGACCCAAACCTCAAAATCACCCCCCTAAACCCATAAACCCTCAACTCTAAACCCCGTGTGCCGCAGGGCCATCATGGTTAAACCATCTGAGGGCTGGACAAGGGGAGCCGCACAATGCTCACGCGCTCGGGAAAATGACCAGCCTTGCTGTGCCAGGGTTTGGTGTGCGTAAGTGTCGATGGTGTAGGGGTTAGGGTTCAGGGTTTAAGGTTTAGGGTTTAGGGTTTTAGTTCATAGAAATTGTAGGTTCATGTCCTGAGTTTTGGCCGGGTTTCGACCGAAAGTTGTTGGCAGGTTTGGGTTTTGGGATTCGCTCGAACGCTTTTATGTTTTTTTTTTAATCTGATCGGTTTGATCCGCTCAGGTCCGCTCCGTGGCGGTGTCGGACTGATGAGTTTAACCGGTTCAGGTCCGCTCCGCTGTTTCTTTTGGGTGGGGACTCGAATTTTCGAAGTCAATGCTCAATATTTCGTGGTTATTGCTCAAAATCGTTCGTGGGCTTTGTTCAAAAATTCGTGGGCATTGGTTGTTCAACAATTCGCGGGCATTGTACATTTGTTCATGGGCATTGTGCCTTTTTTCGTGGGGGTTGTGCGTGTTTTTCGTGGGCATTGCACGTTTTCGTGGGCATTGCGCGCTTTTTCGTGGGCATTGTGCACATTTTCTTGGGCACTGTGCGGTTTTCTTGGCATCGTTATCTTTTTGTGGGCATTGCGCGTTTGGGCCTTGAGCTGTAGGGTTTAGGAGTCTAGGAGGGCTTATGGATTGAGTGGACTCTAGGAACACGTTTCATTTTGATATGGTAGTTCTGCCCCCTGCCCCTGTGCCACGCAGCGATGTGCACCCATGCGTGCTTTGATGCTTGATGCTTGACATCTCAAGTCGGTCGCATGACGTCCATGAATTTCCGGCCTTGGCTTCGCTTGCTCCTTGCGCTGCGCGTGGGCCTTCTCGTTGATGGAAGCAAGGTGGGTGCTGCTCGGGGAAGCAGCCAACTGCAGGAAGCTTACACTCGCTCGACTCTGAGCTCTCTGGGCTCCCTCGCAACAGAACTTGCGGATTCAGAGTCGGTTCTGTCGAAGGAGGCGGGGCCACTGACGGAGGAGCTCCAGGCCCAGGGCTTCTCAGCTGTGACGGTCCCCATCGGCCCCGGCGTGATCCTGTCGATTGCCGTTTTCAGCCTGCTCTTCACCGCGCACGAAGCCTTCGTGGCTGCAGGGGCAAAGCCCTTGCTGGCAAACCACGAGAAGCCCAACAGCCTACCGTTGCAATGCACGTTTGCGATATATTGGCTCCTCGTGATGGTGAACTTTTCAATGCTTGTGCCGGTGTCTCTGGATTACGCACTGGCCATGGGACATTCCGCTACTGCCAGTGGGGTTTTCCTCGGTGCGCCCATGGTTTTCGCACTGCTTGGCACGATGCTGGGGAGGCCCCTCACAAGCGAAGTGAACTGGGACCAGCCTTTCGGTCGATATTTGAATCTCGGCTGCCAAGGGTTGGCGTTTGCTGGCAACTTGGTCCTGGCGTTTTTGATGCAAGCGGCATCGCAGTGGAGCGATGAGACGAGGAAGACGTCCTTCTGGTGCTTCCTCCTCGTAAACGGCGCAAACCAATTCTTCCAGGCCCTCCCGATCGTGTGCTGGACGACCATGTGGAATGTCGTCACGCCGAACAGCCAGAAGACGCTCTGGAGCATGATCACCATCACGTGTCGCAACTCCGGCTTCATTGTGGGCCCAGTGTGCTTCGTGGCACTCAGCTTCTCAGTGCGGAGTGGGCGCGACATTTCTCCCATCAGCATGATGGGCTGGTCCTTCGTTGGACTCGCGATGTTTCAAGCTTTGGTGCCTGCCCTTAATTATTCCCTTTGTTTGGGGTTTGAGGCTTCCGCTTAAGCCCCTTCAAAAGTTTCAGTATCGAAGAGTAAGGTTTGTGTTCCTAGGCTACTCCTGGGCCCAGGTGCTGACGACCGCGTCTCTCTGCTTGCCGACGGTGGTCTCGCCTCCGGAGGAGGATGGAAAAGCTGCGGATGAGGATCAAGACGCGGAGCTGAGCCCAGAGGCGACATGCATCTCAACACGCTTCTATAAAAAAAGGGTCAGAGTCCTCATGTATGGTCTGGGAATCATGCTGGGGCGTTTTCTCGAGTCATACTGGCACTTTGCAGTAAAGTAAGGCTACCTTGCTGCCATGCCCCTGAACTTTCGGTGAAGCGCAGGAGCTGCCGCCAGAGTCGCGACAGGAGATTGTGAGCAACATCATCATCTACTGCTACGAGCGGGCCTTCACCATCGCCGCGGTCGAGGTCTCCACAATGATGCTCTTAGAAGTGCAATATGGGTGGTCGAAAGAGGCCTGTGGAGCGTCCTTCATGATGGTCGGGGCGGCCACTGTGGCCACAACCATCGTCTCCAGCATTGCGTTGAGCAGGAAGTGGGTGAGAGAGTCTTGGCTCTTCCTGGGATCCACCTTGATCTCCCTTTCTGGCGTCTTCCTGCTCTTTGACTGGCGATTTCCATTCGGGGGTGGGATCCTGCTCTTCGCCGACTCTTTGGTCTACGCCTTCTCGGGCGTCTCCAATGGCATTGCCCAGGGTTGGGCCGCCCGGGCGGCCATGAAGGGAACGAGCTACGACATCCGAACCTATCGGGTGCAGAGGCTCATCTATTTTCATTCTGCTGACGTGCACGAAGCAACACTTGTCATTTTACTAGAGTGCACCCTGTTTTAGCTTAGCCCTTAATAGCCTCCGAAGTCTCATAAGACATATAAGACTATGAGGAACGCGGCGGCGATCCAGATCAGCAGGTTCCTTGTCCCCATCTTCACCCGCTTTATCCTGGACTTCGGAGGCCAGAACATCTACGCCCTGGTTCAGCTGCTCATGTGCGCCCTGGGCACCTCCACCGTCTGGCGCACCGTCACCCTGGTCTGGCGCAGGGGCGCGAAGGACGACCAGGAGGCTAGCAAGAGTTCAAACACCGAGCCTGTACAGAACACCTCTAAGGGCAAGGAGTGTACTCAGTGTACCTAGGGCCAGGTGTAGAGACCTGCCTACCCCCGCTTTGGTTCCTGCGGCCCGAGAAGCTGCCTGGGACTGAAAAGGACTTTGTGTAAGGAAAGGAGGACAAAGGCTCAAAGCGCGGAGAAGTTCAGGACCACCCTGTGCTCTGCTTTTTGCACGCCAGTTAAACGCGGGCTTCTCTTCATGTGTGCTTCTGCTCGCTCATATTCATAGTTGACGCCTGAAGTGAGCGCCCAAATTCCCTTATTTTTTTGGCGCTCTCATGAATGTTCTTCGCGGGCTCTCACTACACTCACGAAATCCGAACTCCAGTGCCTACGGCTCAAGTCTCCGTGTAGTGACTATCGTGTGCCTGGTTGCACCGCCACGATGACAGACGCCATCCCGGCCCACCTTGAGGAGAGTGCCGCGACCGTGAAGCCCAGCTCTGTTTAGGGTTTAGGGTTGAGGGTTGAGGGTTGAGGGTTGTGGGTTCTTCTTGAGGATCTTTTCTTCAAAGTCAGACTAGCGGATCTGCCGAAGGTCTTCGAGGATTCTAAAGGGCTCATGAAGGTTTGTTGGGCTTTTCGAGAGCTTAACTTACCCCTAACCGGGAAAAACCTTGCATTTCCTTTAGATCCCGAATTGATGGTAACTTAAAGTTGATTTTTCCTGACCAGAGCCTCCGCCCAGGAAGAGTCAGGACTCGCCCAGTACCGATGTGGACTTTATGGAAAAGGGGGCATCGGAGGTCGAGAGCCACTTTGAGTTTGACTTCTGTGATCGTGGCAATTGGGGCATCGTCATCCATTGTTGGTGTTTGGGCTTCGTATCTGGAGGCTTCAGTGCCTTCCTCATGGGCGTGGTTGCAGGCTATCTGCACGTCCCCAGTGACATCATCCGAGGTTTGCAGAACATGTCCTCCCTTCCGAATGTCTTGTCAGTCTTCATGGGTGTCGTCTCAGACTCCCGCCCGATCTTCGGATATCGCCGCAGGCCCTACATGGTGCTGGGCTGGCTTATCACCACAATTGCCTATTCCACTATGGCTTGCATGGGGCTTCCTGAACCCTACTTCTGTACGGGACCAGATGGCGGGTATCTTTACGATCGATTGCCCTGCAACCCAGATGCTGATTATTTCTACGTGCCCTTGGCGATCTGTCTCTTTTCCGCGAACATCGGCCTATCGGTGAGTGGAGCTGCGGGTCGTGGTCTGATAGTCGAGTATCCCACTGGCGCTTCAGGTTTTAGGGTTTAGGGTTTGGGGTTTAGGGTCCACCTCCACACTCTCAACATAAGCACGAGCAAGGTATGCAAAGGCTGAAGAGGAGGAGCGCCGCGGCCGAACGCAGACCATGCTTGAGACTTAGCTTTCGAACTTTTCGAAGTTTGGGTGTTTTCGGTATGCTGGTACGGTTAGGAGAGTCTAGGTGCAACCTGAAATTGGAAGCCCTGATGCTTCAACCCAGCAGCCCTAGTTAGGCAAGCTCAGAAGGTTGTTTCTCTGTTTCTCGGAAAAATGAGGAGATGGTCACTTTGGCCGGGTCTTTTTCGTCGCTGATGCTGGCCGGTTTCGGCTTCAATGGCCGGCTGTTCAACGGCTCCTGGGACCAGCGCCACCAGCTCGGATACAGACAATACTGTTCCATTTACGCCGTGGTCGGCATAATTGCAGGCTTGTCCTGCATCCGCCATGTTCGCGAAGGACAAGGACGACGTGTCTCGATGCGGCAGTACTTCCATACTGCATGGAGCCTCTTTCAGAGCAAGGCGGTGGCCGGTGTTGGGCTCTTCTACTTCGTAAGGGGTGTCTTCGCGACCGTCTTCACCACAGCGCACATGTGGGTCATGATGGAGTGGGCCGGCGTGAAGAGCTTGCAAATGCAGTTGGTCTCCATGCTTGGGGTCTGCGCATCCTTGTTCGGCAGCTGGCTCTTGCAGAAGTACATGCTGAATGTCAGCTGGCGGAAAATCATGGTGGTCGCCACGGTCGTTGGGGTAGCTTTGGATGCTTTTCCGACGTTTCTGACCATCTTTGGCGTGGTGCGAAACCAGTATTTCTTCCTAGGTGAGGCAATCGTCAGCGCTGTGCCGGAGTCCATGGCAGTCCTTGTCAGCAGCTTCATTGTGAACGAGTTGGCCGACAGCACCAATTGTGGCCTAATGGCAGGGCTCTTCACGACCATCAGCAACGTGGCAAATCCGTTGGGCTTGCTACTGGGGAACCAGATTTTCGGGTTGTTCCAACCAGCGCTTTACGATCGAGACAACTTCGTGGAAGATACGCCGGCCTTCCGCCGGACGGTGGCTTTCTCTTACGGCCTGACCTACGCCTTCATCCTTGCGCCACTCTTGGTCCTGCGCTTGCTTCCGAGCCAAAAGAGCCACGCTCAGAGGCGCAAGCGTGAATGGAGACACAGGTGTTACTACGCGCTGCTGGCAGCGATTGTGTTGAGCATGTCGCTCCTGTACACCTTGGTGGGTGACGTCTTCGACATGGACCCCGTCCTGGCTTGCCACAGGTTCGTGGGTGGTGGGGGCTGCAACTAGGCGGCTCAGCTGGCTGACCCTGCTCAGGGTTGAGACTAGTTGATCGTTGTTCATGTTCTCTCACTTTTAAACACCCGACCATCACGGATAGAATGGGGGGCTCAGCCCACAGGGTCAGAGCAGTCGAGTTGGATTGTTTTAGTAACAATGCGACATGAGATCTTGGCGTGCCGACGATCTGGAGGTAAACTGACCATGACCCAGCATACTCGCTTGAAGGTTACGGGTTGAACGGGGTAGAAGCAGCTTTGCGCAAGCCTCGTTTCGCATGCTTCTTGTCGACGCGCCATCTTCTCTCGTTGCAGAGAGTGCGAGGTCGAGGTCGTAAGGTCTCTGCAAATTCCGAGCATTTCAGAAGTATATGAGGGAGCTTTCTCGCTACTTCGCCGGAGACCTTGCCTTCTTCGACCTTGCGATTTGGTTTTGAAGCAAAGTATCCGAGAGGCCTAGAAACCTCAGGGCTCATCGTGACCCCTTCTGTAAAGAGACGACAGGATCTCGGATTCCTTCTCCTTGTACAGGTCGACCTGACCCAAGGAGTCATAAGATTTGACTTTGGACCCTTGGGGCCTTTAGGGCGTAGGACCCTTAAGGCGTAAGGTCAGCCAGCACCAAGATCGATGGACATCGGGCGCCGCCCTCCCTGGGCTCAATTCAGCGTTCACAACCCTACAACTACCGTGAAGCTGCAGTGTGCCCCTTGAAGGGCGGAGGCCGGTGGACTTCGTAGCATGTAGAAGCAACGTGCGCGCAGCTACCTTCTCGGCGCCAGGACACTTCCAGGCATCGCAAGCCTGGTATCAAGCAAAGGGCGGGTCTGCACCTTGTGCGTCTGCCTAGCTACCTTCTCGTTCCTGCGCTCAGTTCCTGGCAGACGTCCGGAAAAGAAGAGAGAGCTTGGTCTCCGAATTTACCCCACACGGCGGTGGGACGGAGAGGCGGAGAGAATATTATATATATATATATATATTATGCTACCATATATATATATATATATATGTATTGGGTTTTAAAATAGGCCGGCGAAGACCCCAAACAGTAAGATTGTAGAGAAAGGGAAAATGCGTGCAACAACAACGTGACTTAAAATTTGACAGGCGTTTTGCGTTACCCTAAACTTCAGTGCCGGCCCCTTAGTAGGTGTGTCATGCAACACTATGAGTCAGAACCTAAAGGCATAGACATGATTCATGCATTTCTTGGCCCGCATGAAAAGGAACAAGCACAAAAACACGCTGTGTTTTCTCAACATTTGCACTTCCAGAACACCGTAGAAGTAAAAGCATATCCCTTAGAGGTTCGTCGTATGTCCCCTCCATTCGTGCTCGTAGGGTGAGGGCCTCTGGAGGTACGGCCTGAAAGCCCTAGAACCAGAACGTGCTTGAACGGCACAGCGTGTGAGGTTTGAAGGTTTCGGAGAGGCGTCTTGGTTGGTCCTTGAGTGTGTGTGTGTGTGTGTGTGCGAAAAGACTGGGGGCCGAGCTAGCACCCAAGTTTTGGGGACCGAGCGTGTTCAACTACCATTCTGCTTTGCGGGATCCAATAGCGCCCAAGTTTTGGGGACCGAGCGTGTTCAGCTAGCATCCTGCTTTTTTGAGACCGAGCGTACTCAAATAGCACCCAAGTTTTGGGGACAGCAGTTTCAGAACACTGTAGAAGTGAAAACATGTCTCGTCGAGGTTTGTCGTACGTGCCCTTCCTTTGTGCTCGTAGGGTTTTGTGAGGGCCCTCGAAGTTTGTCGTATGTCCCCTCGCTTTGCGCTTGTAGGGTGTTGTCGTAAGCCACTAGCACCCCACCTCCGCCCAGATGACCAAATAGTTCGCGCCATGGCGCGAGCTATTTGGTCGCAGGGGAAACATCTAAGGTGTTTCAACACGTGAAAACGCGTTTTCAGGGCTAGCGTTCTGCCCTAAAGCCTTTGCTGGTAGCGTACTCGGGGCCCTAAAGCCCGCCTGCATTTTCAAACTGTTCCAAAAGCCCCTGCTGGTAACGTAATCGTGGCCCATAACCCGCCTGCACGTTAGAACGGTTATATTACTAACCTCTAGGGCCCTCACCCTACGAGCACGAAGGGACTTGCGACAAGCTTCTAGGGCCGTCACCAAACCCTAGCACGAAGGGAGGGGACATACGACAAACCTCTAAGGGAGATGTTTTTACTTCTGGTTCTACAGTGCTCTGAAAGCGCAAGCGTTATGAAACATAGGATGTTTTTGCCCTGGCACACCCATGGAGCCGCGATTCCGTTACCAACACACAAGGGAGAAACATCTTTATTTACTAAACCACCTGTTTCTACTGTGAAACCTTTTCGCAGAGCAAGAAGAGTTGGGCAAAAACCTTGCTTGCTCTGCGAAAAGGTTCTATACAATCGCACAAACATCCTGTGTTGTTCCTAACGTTTGCACTTTCCGAACACTGCAAAAGTAAAAACATATCCATTAGAGGTTTGTCGTATGTCCCCTCCCTTCGTGCTCGTAAGGTTTGGTGAGGGCCCTAGAGGTTTGTCGCATGTCCCCTTGCTCGTAGGGTGAGGGCCCCAAAGCCCTAGAACCATAACGTGCTTGAAGGGCCTGTTAGTTTTGAAGGTTTCAGTGAGGCATCTTGGTTGGTCCTTGTGTGCGCGACGAGCCTGAGCGTGTTAAACTGGCATCCTGCCTTTTGGGGACCGAGCATACTCAAACAGCACCCAAGTTTGGAAACCGAGCGTGTTCAACTAGCATCCTGCTGTTTGGGGGCCGAGCATACTCAAACAGCACCCAAGCTTTGGGATTCAGAACACTGGAGAAGTAAGAACATATCCCTTAGACGTTTGTCGTATGTGCCTTCCTTTGTGCTCGTAGGTTTTGGTGAGGGCCCTAGACGTTTGTCGCACGTTCCCTCCCTTCGCCCTCGCAGGGTGACGTCGTGCAACTAGCACCCCATCTGCGCCCTGATGGCCAAATAGCTCGCGACAAGGCGCAGTTTTTTTGGTCGCAGGGGAAACATCCATGGTGCTTTAACACGTTAAAACACAAGTTTCATGGTCGAACGGGCATATTTACAACCCTTATGAAGCCGCGATTACGTTACCAGCACAGGGATATGATAAACATCTCAGTGTACCCAAACCACCTCTTCTAGTGAATGTATTTTTGTGGTCGCAGGGGCATATTCACAACCCTACTTTACCAGCACAGGTTTTGGGTTTCATCGTAGGCAGCTAGCACCCCATCTGCGCCCTGATGACCAAATAGCTCGCGCCAGAGGCCACCCCTTCTTCCCCATACTTGCAAGGAGAAGTTTACCACGCATGAAGACCGGAAGCCGATGTGTTCCATGGTCGGCACTTGTGCCTTTGATTGCCAAAAGTAAAAAAAAATCGGGGTCCGCGCAGGTCCACGCCCATTAATTATATGCCCAACTCTGCTTGCTCTGCGAAAAAGTTCTAGAACATGTTAAAACACCCCAGATGCGACCCGTTTGGTCGCTGTCCCAAGCTATTTGGGCGTACTCAAATAGCACCCAAGTCTTGGGGACCGAGCGTGTTCAATGTTTTTACGTCTACCTGTTCTGGCACTAGGAAAATAGGATGTCTTTTTGCACTTTAAAAACACCTATGGAGCCGCCACAAGGGATAAACATGTCTATTTACTTAAACCGCTTTTGTTTAGAGGTTGTGAAAACTTTTCGAGTTGGTCCCTTAGAGGTTTGTCGCATGTCCCCTCCCTTCGTGCTCGTAGGGGTTTGGTGAGGGCCCTAGAAGTTTGTCGCATGTCCCCTCCCTTCGTGCTGGTAGGGAGAGGGCCCTGGAGGTTAAGCCTGAAAGCCGTAGAACCAGAACGTGCTTGAAGGGCCCAGCCTGCGAGGTTTGAAGGTTTCAGAGCGGCGTCTTGGTTGGTCCTTGCGTGTGCGAAAAGACTGAGCGTGTTCAACTAGCATCCTGCTTTTGGGACAGAGCGTACTCAAACGGCACTTCAACTAGCACCCTGCTTTGCGGGACCAAGCGTACTCAAATAGCACCCGAGCCAGCACCCGAGCTTTGAGAACCAAGCGTGAACACTAGCATCCTGCTTTTTGGGGGCCGAAAGTACTCAAACAGCACCCAAGCTTTGGGATTCAGAACACTGTAGAAGTCAAAAATATGTCCCTTAGAGGTTTGTCGTATGTCCTGTCGTAAGCAACTAGCACCCCTTCTGCGCCCTGATGACCAAATTGCTCGCGCCATGGCGTGAGCTGTTTGGTCACAGGGGAAACGCGTTTTCAGAGATAGCGTTCTGCGCCCCAAAAGCCTGTGCTGGTAGCGTAATCGTGCCCCTATAGACCGCCTGCATTGTGAAACTGTTCCAAAAGCCTGTACTGGCAACGCACTCGTGACCCCATAACCCGCCTGCTTTCCTATAGGGCCCGCACCCTACGAGAAAGATGTATATCCCTTGTGCGTTGGCAACGCAATCACGGCTCCGCAGGGTGTGCAAGCGCAACTACATCTTTTGTTTTTCCAAATATTTGCATTTTCAGAACACTGTAGAAGTAAGAACATATCCCTCACAGGTTTGTCGTATGTCCCCTCCCTTCGTGCTAGGGTCTGCTGAGGGCCCTAGAAATTTGTCGCACGTCCCCTCCCTTCGCACTCGTAGGGTGACGTCGTAAGCAACTAGCACCCCATCTGCGCCCTGATGACCACATGTTTTACGATGTTAAAACACAAGTGTTCACCTCGCGCTCGTCGGGTGACATCGTAAGCAGCTAGAACGCCTTGCTGCACCCTCATGACCAAATAGCTCGCGCCATTGCGCGAGCTATTTGATCGCAGGGGAAACATCTATGGTGTGTTAACTTTTAACACGTTAAGACACGTTTCAGGGCTAGTGTTCTGCACCCAAAAGCCTGTGCTGGTGGCGTAATCGTGGCCCTATAGACTGCCTGCATTTTAAAACGGTTCCGAAAGCCGCTGGTAACGTACGTGGCCGCATATCCCGCCTGCACTTTAAAACGGTCACATGAACCTCGAGGGCCC